CCGCTGTTCATATATTGACTTAGGTAACCTCTGGTCACCTTGGAATCATACCGACTATGTTTACCCCTGGTCCAGTTACAATGATGCTCTGGTCACATTACACACTCATTTAATTTGGTTACCTCTTATCAACTTGTACATATATTCACTATGCTGACCTCTGGTCACCTTACAATCATGTCCTGGTCACATTACACACGTATTCAATTTGGTTAACTCTGGTCACCTAACACATATATTGACATTGGTTACCTCGGGTCATTTCAACAAATAAGCCGGAGAACACGATTATGGAAAAGGTATAAAAAAATAGCAAGTAACACACTGTCTACACTAGGGACTATATTTGTAGACAACGAAAATCAAGGGACGATAACTGTGCTCTCGGACCAATATTGACTATGGTTACCTCTGGTCACCTTACTCCGATGTTCATATATTGACTTAGGTTACCTCCGGTCACCTTGGACACATACTGACTATGTTTATCCCTGGTCCAGTTACAATGATGCTCTGGTCACATTACACACTCATTTAATTTGGTTACCTCTGGTCACCTTGTACATATATTCACTATGCTGACCTCTGGTCACTTTGTACATATATTCACTATGCTGACCTCTGGTCACCTTACAATCATGACCTGGTCACATAACACACGAATTCAATTTGGTTAACTCTGGTCATCTAACACATATATTGACGTTTGTTACCTCGGGTCATTTCAACAAATAGGCCTGAGAACTAGGTTATGGAAAGGGTATAAAAAAAAAATAGCAAGTAACACACTTTCCACACTAGGGACTATATTCGTAGACAACGAAAATCAAGGGACGATAACTGTGTTCCCGGACCAATGTTGACTATGGTTACCTCTGGTCACCTTACACAGCTGTTCATATATTGACTTAGGTAACCTCTGGTCACCTTGGACACATACTGACTATGTTTACCGCTGGTCCAGTTACAATGATGCTCTGGTCACATTACACACTCACTTAATTTGGTTACCTCTGGTCACCTTGTACATATATTCACTATGCTGACCTCTGGTCACCTTACAATCATGCCCTGGTCACATTACAAACGTATTCAATTTGGTTAACTCTGGTCACCTAACACATATATTGACGTTGGTTACCTCGGGTCATTTCAACAAATAGGCCGGAGAACACGGTTATGGAAAGGGTACAAAAAAAAATAGCAAGAAACACTCTGTCCACCCTAGGGACTATATTCGTAGACAAGGAAAATCAATGGACGATAACTGTGTTCCCGGAACAATATTGACTATGGTTTCCTCTGGTCACCTTACACCGCTGTTCATATTTGACTTAGGTTACATCTGGTCACATTGGACACATACTGACTATGTTTTGACCTGCTTTGTCTACTTCAGGTACACATCAACTGTACCTCAAGTACAAACCAGTGCAACTTACAAACACCCAACTCTAATGAATATTGATGTGTATAAGCATGAAAACTTTCGACAGGCTTTGTCTACCTGAGGTATACATCAACTGTATCTCAAGTTCATAGCAATGCAGCATACTTACACCCTACTGTGATGAGTATTGATATGTAATCCCATCAAACCTTTCGACAGGCTTTGTCTACTTCAGGTACGCATCAACTGTACCCCAAGTACATACTAGTGCAACTTACATACACCTCATTTTGATCAATATTGATGTGTATTGGCATGAAAACTTTCGACAGGCTATGTCTACTTCAGGTACACATCAACTATATCTCAAGTACAGACAAATGCAACTTACATACACCCAACTCTGATGAGTATTGATGTGTATTCCCATCAAAACTTTCGACAGGCTTTGTCTTCTTCAGGTACACATCAACTGTACCTCAAGTGCAGATCAATTTAATCTCCATACACCCAACTCTTATGAATATTGATATGTTGTGTATCACCATCAAAACTTACGACAGGCTTTGTCTACTTGAGGTACACATCAACTGTATCTCAGATACAGTTGATGTGATACCAAATCAGTTCCAGGTTAGAACTGTTAAAAAAGTGTCAGGATTACAGTTCTACATTCTGTCCTAGAACAGTTCTACTGACAGATTCTGACAGATTTAGTAAGAGGTTAGAAGTGATCTCCACTGTATAGGTCACCATACAGCCTTCAACAATGAGCAAAGCCCTTACCGCATAGTCAGCTATAAAAGGCCTACAAATTACCGATGTAAAATAATTCAAACGAGAAAACTAACGGCCTAATTTATATACAAACTAGAGGCTCTAAAGAGCCTGTGTCGCTCAGCTTGGTCTATGTGCATATTAAACAAAGGACACAGATGGATTCATGACAAAATTGTGTTTTGGTGATGGTGATGTGTTTGTAGATCTTACTTTACTGAACATTCTTGCTCCTTACTATTATCTCTATCTATAATGAACTTGGCTGCAAAATTTTCTTAAAATTACCAATTCAGGGGCAGCAACCCAAACAACGTGTTGCCTGATTGGTCTGAAAATTTCAGGGCAAATAGATATTGACCTTATGAACAACATTATCCTCGTCAGAATTGCTCTAAATGCTTTGGTTTCAGAGATATGAGCCAAAAACTGCATTTTACCCTATGTAGTATTTTTTTAGCCATGTCGGCCATCTTGGTGCGCGGGCGGGGTCATCGGACATATTTTTTAAACTAGATACCCCTAATGATGATTGTGGACAAGTTTGGTTAAATTTGTCTTAGTAGTTTCAGAGAAGAAGATTTTTGTAAAAGATTACAAAAATTTACGAAAAATGGTTAAAAATTGACTATAAAGGGCAATAACTCCTTAAGGGGTCAACTGACCATTTTTGTCAAGTTGACTTATTTGTAGATCTTTCTTTGCTGAACATTATTGCCTTTTACAGTTTATCTCTATCTATAATAATATTCAAGATAATAACCAAAAACGGCAAAATGTCCTTAAAATTACCAATTCAGGGGCAGCAACCGAACAACGGGTTGTCCAATTCATCTGAAAATGGCAGGGCAGATAGATCTTGACCTGATGAACAATTTTATTCAGTCAGATTTGCTCTAAATGCTTTGGTTTCAGAGATATAAGCCAAAATCTACATTTTACCACTATGTTCTATTTTTAGCCATGGCGACCATCTTGGTTAGTTGGCCGGATCACCGGACATATTTTTAAACTAGATACCCCAATGATGATTATGGCCAAGTTTGGTTAAATTTGGCCAAGTAGTTTCAGAGGAGAAGATTTTTGTAAAAGTTAACGGACGACGGACGACGGACGACGGACGACAGACGACGGCCGACGGACGACGACGGACGACGGACGCCAAGTAATGAGAAAGGCTCACTTGGCCCTTTGGGCGATGTGAGCTAAAAATGAACGAAAAAACAAATATGTAACACATCAACAAACGACCACCACAGAATTACAGGCTCCTGACTTGGGACTGGCACATACATACAAAATGTGGCGGTTGTTAAACATGTTAGCGGGACCCCAATCCTCCCCTAAATTGGGACAGAACGTAATATATGAATCGGTATTGAAAATTTCAACCGATCATACATCAATGTGTGGCAAATTTATCAAACAATGCACCGATTTCATGTAAGTCATACGAATAAATCGAATTTTGGACAGAGTCAATCATCTGAATACGGATATTTTTCAAATGCATACGGCACCCATGTAAAAAAAAATATAGGTGCTCCACTCACACGCCAGCCACAGACCTTTCTATATATACACAACAAATGGAAGTTTTTAACGACTTTGACTGGCTATACAGCCCTTGCACGGTCGGTTCTATATATATAGAAAATTATGACAACTTTATAAGTACAGTGCAACACCCTCTGTGTTAGTTTATAAGCCGGAATACTACTGTTGCCTTTTTGTAGCAACTGTGTCCATGTTGTTTGTTGCCGATCATAATCGACGGACGCCACGTAATGACAATACAAATATGGCTGTGTCTGTTAGAGATGTATCCGTTGCTTAAACACGAAAATAATGGTTAAACTAACAATTTTGAATGACCTAAATTCTTATATTTATAAACATCTCAAAGGTAATAATGATTTTAAGCTGTTTTAATTTAATAATGATATAAAAACATCGATTTATTTCTGAATTCTAGTTAAAAAAATCTACTTTTTTATTTATTTTTTGGGGAGATAAAAAGTATATCTGAATAAAGAACCGATCAACTGGTATTAAATTTATTTATCTTCTAATTTATATAGGATGTTTTGTGCATATCATTGAAGTTCCATGTCAATTATAATGATCAAGAAGAAGCACTTAAACACCTTACCCTATCGTGATGTATTCGAAATTTATAGTGATGAAATACTGGTATATTTCCAAACAATTTTCATAACATTTTACCTTTAGTGAACCTCTTTGAAGAATAATGGGTTTGAATCACCTGTAAGGTCAATCCAGATTGAATGCACCGTGTACATTTTACAACTAACATTTCAAGATGTCAGCAAAAATTTTCAAGCTTCAATTTCAAAACGAAGATGACATGAATGTTATTTTCCGACAACTTCTAGGTGAAAACTTCCAGTATCCAGATGTCAATAGACAACTTTTGCAGTTGACCTATACACAAGAAGATGCTGTGAACAGGGCACTTTGGTTCTGTGATATTTTTGACATTAAAATGAAAGTTTTGAACTATTAGTTCTCTGCTGAAACACGTATGATTTAAAACACCTAGGATTTCCGAGGTACAACTATAACAAATAAGTTTTATGTATAAAATTGAGAATGGAAACAGGGAAGGTGTCAAATTTATTCAGGCATTAATTAGAACTCTTGAACAATGTTACAATTTAAACGTGTGGTTACATTTATCCATCTTGAAACAACTTAGAGTGCAAGCATAACTTTTATTTTACCTTTTTTTATTTTGTAAATTTTATCTGTCATGTCTGTTTAGATATATGTGTGGAATTACATAAATGTCATTGATATCATTGATGATAATTTGTTATCAGGATACCACTTTCATTACTATGTTCAGACCATAGATGTGAGTACATCTATGTTTAGACTAATAGGGATTTCCCATTTTAATTTGTAACAGCTGATTCAACAGTTCACGCAAGTTCAAAAATATGTGTAAACAATTATATCAACAAAAGATGGGTATCTGCTGGAAGTTTATTTTGTTGTTTGTCAGAATTCTTATAATTATGGCATGTATAGTCAAATCACAGAATATATGTTACAAATGTGAATGCACTATCAGGTAAGTTAATATTATCTACTTATAAATTATATAAAATTGTCATCTTAACATGTCTTACTATTGCCCTGTGACCGCATGCAGTGCTAAAACTAGTGACAAAATCTCGGAGGACAAAATATTACCTCAATTACAAACACAGACAATTCAAAGGAAAGGTTTAAAGGTTCTGATGAAGATTGTTTTAATATTAATCAACTGTAAGTCCTTGTCGGTCTTAAAAAGGTTTTAAAATGTAGAAAATAACGCAAACTACACAAGTTTTCTTATTTATCCATGAATAATTAATACATATACAGAAATATTTTGTATTAGCCAAAAACATGAAAACTCTTTAAAATTTCATGTGTATCTTATATAATGTTTTTCTTATTTTGTCGTATATAGTTATCTTAAAAAAAGTTTCTTTTTCCAAACCGAAATGAATTATAATAAAGGCGATCTATGTGCAAGAAAATGAATTCGTTAACGTTTTCTTTACTTTTATGGTAGGGAATCTATATTCGGTTTGGAGCTTTATGAAAGCATGGATAGGGAGTTGTAGTGTGTACACATGTTTTATTTATGTCGTGCTACCACTTTCCTGTTTGCCGATAGTATCGCCATATAAGACCCTAAAAATGGGACGCCATACCGTAGGGGTTGACCACGAGACTCTGACATTGGGTCGCCGACGCCATATTTGGACCTAAAATCGGGACGCCATGCCCTAGTTTTTTTTTGTAAGCCTGTATACTAGTAACATTGAGCGAGATCGTCGCAAACTAATACGATGAAGAGTTATGAAGATTTAATTAGTTTTTTTTTAATTTCAGCGAGGAATATTCAGACGTCCGAGCAGTGCGCAAGGTACATCCAGTGTGCAACGAAGGTAGTTTCAAATGGTATAATGTTTACGGTGGAGCTCTCCGTATTAAATTTCAACCAATTTTCCGTGGTGATTTCCTGTTGTGTTTCATTTTGTATGCAGAAAATGTAAGAGTTCAGATTTCACAAGAACTTCCAAATGAATCTACGTACAGTGTTAACTTTGAACGACCAGCTGGCTTAAAGCGACTTATAGTAGCAGACGGCAGAACTAATGAGACATGCATAATATCCTCTGGTGAAAGCATTCATTTATTTCTAGAACCAGAAAGAACTGTAGAGTCTATTGGGTTTAGTTTTGTTGACATACAATTCATAATGGAAAGAAACAATGCATAACACCAGACATAAGCTAAATTTTTGTAGCGAACAATAACCCGAATCTGATGACAATAACTAAACTAGTGTAACGAAACAATCATCTAGCCTATATATACGTTGGAAAAAAAAAAACCCGACTATTTTGGAACGACAAGTATTTTTTTGTTAAATTTGCAGTAGAAATAAAAGCTGATAACCATTATTCGCAATTTTCTTCTTTTGTCAAAGAACTAGTTCATTTTTCTAATTATTCAAAAGTATGTTGTCATTCTGGTAATTTATTTATTATACTGTATTTCGATCTGAAGATTGATGAATGTAAGAGTGACACACAAATGCAACGAAAAAAAAAATTGACTTAAAAGTTGGAGTTAATCTAATGGGTAAAGTTATTGAACTTTTTTTTATTGAGGTCCACAGTTGGGGTAAGGAGACCCTGCCATCCCCCTTCTTTCATTAATTCATACAAATTTCCCTACGGGAAAGCTTTTGTCCACACTTGGTACAAATGATAGGCAATTACCTAAGGTTGATTGGATCCATCAACCCAGGTTGGTAAAGTTATGGAACTTTTTTGATTGAGGTCCAAAGTTGTAGTAGGGTGACCTTACCAACTCCCTTCTTCAATATATAATAAAAAATTCCCTACGACAAAGCTTTTGTCCACACTAGTTAAAAATGATATGCAGTTGCCTGGACCCAAAGACCGGGGTTAATAAAGTTATGGAACTTAATTCATAAAGAATTCCCTACGACAAAAACTTTGTCCATTATTGGTACAAATGATAGGCACTTGTCTAAGGTATATTGGACCCAAAGGCCCAAGTGGTTAATGTTATAGTACTTTTTCGATTGTGGTCCAAAGTTTGGGTAAGGTGACCATACCATCTTCCTTCTTTGATTCATTAAAAATTCCTTACGCCAAAGGTTTTGTCCAAACTAGGTACAAATAATAAGGGATTAACTAAGGTTGCCTGGACCCAAAGACCTAGGTGTTTAATATTATGGAATTGAGGTCCAAAATTGAGGTAGGGTGACCTTACCAACTACATTCTTTAATTCATTAAAAATGTCCTACGACAAAGCTTTTGTCCACACTAGGTACAAATGATAGGCAATTGCCAAAGGTTTCTAAACCCAAAGACCAAGGTGGGTAAAGTCAGGGAGGGTTTCGATTGAGGTCTAAAGTGTGGGTAGGGTGACCCTACCAACTCCTTTCTTTAATTCATAAAAAATATCCCTACGGCAAAGCTTCTGTCCACATTAGGTACAATTGATAGACAATTGCCTAAGGTTGCCTGAACACAAAGACCCAGGTGGGCAAAGTTATGCAAGGTTTTTGATTGAGGTCAAAAGTTGTGGTAGGGCGACTCTACCAACTCCATTCTGTAATTCATAAAAAATCCCTACGACAAAGTTTCTGTCCACACTAAGTACCAATGATAAGCAATTGCCTAAGGTTGCCTTGACCCAAACGCCCAGGTTGGTGAAGGTGGAACTGTTTTAATTGAGGTCAAAAGTTGGGGTAGGGTGACACAACCTCCTCCATTCTGCAATTCATAAAAAAAATTCCCTACAGCAAAGCTTTTGTCCAAACTTGGTACAAATGATAGGCAATTGCTTAAGGTTGCCTAGACCCAAGACCAAGGCGAGTAAAGTTATGAAGCGTTTTTGATTGAGGTCCAAAGTTCGGGTATTGTGACCCTACCAACAACCCTCTTTAATTCATAAAAAAATCCTACGGCAATGCTTTTGTCAAACATTAAGTACAAATGATAGGGAACTGCCTAAAGTTGCCTGGACCCAAAGACCCAGATGGGTAAAGTGTTAAAAGGTTTTTGATTGAGGTGCAAAGTTGGGATAGGGTGAACCTATCACTTCCCTGCTTTATTTTTTTAAAAACTCCCTATTGCAAAGGTTTTGTCCACACTATGTACAATTAGTAGGCAATTGACGAAGGTTACCTGAACCAATACACCCAGGTGGGTAAAGTTATGGAAGGTTTTAGATTGATGTCCAAAGTTGGGATAGGATGACCCTACCACCTCCATTTTTTTATTCAGTGTATGTAAGTTGCACTGGTATGTACTTGGGGTACAGATGTGTATTACAATCAAAACTTTCGGCAGGCTTTGTCTACCTGCGGTACACATCAACTGTACCTCAAATACAGACCAATTCAATCTACATACACCTCACTTTGATGAAAATTGATGTGTATTACCATCAAAGCTTTCGCACTGATGAATAGTGATGTCTATTAACATCAAAACATTCAACAGGCTTTGTCTACTTAAGGTACACATCAACTGTACCTCAAATACAGACCAATTCAGTTTACATACACCTCACTTTGAAGTATATTGATGTCTATTACCATCAAAACTTTCGAAAGCTTTGTCTACCTGAGGTACACATCAACTGTACCCCAAATACAGACCAATTCAATCTACATACACTTCACTTTGATGAATATTGATGTGTATTACTATCAAACTTTCCAAAGCTTTGTCTACTTGAAGTACAAATCAACTGTACATCAAGTGCAGACCTACTCAATCTACATACACCCAACTCTGATGAATAGTGATGTGTATTCAGATCAAAACATTCAACAGGCTTTGTCTATTCAGGCACGCATCAACTGTAGCTCAAGTACAGACCAATGCAACTTACATACTCCCAACTCTGATGAGTATTGATGTGTATTCCCATCAAAACTTTTGACAGGCTTTTTCTACCTGAGGTACACATCAACTGTACCTCAAATACAGACCAATTCAATCCACATACACCTCGCTTTAATTAAAATTGATGTGTATTACCATCAAAACTTTCGAAAACTTTGTCTACTTGAAGTACAAATCAACTCTACGTCAAGTACAGACCAATTCAATGTACATACAACCAACTTTGATGAATAGTGATGTGTATTACCGTTAAAACGTTCAACAGGCTTTGTCTACTGGAGGTACAAATTAACTGTACCTTAAGTACAGACCAATTTAATCTACATACACCCAACTCTGATGAATATTGAAGTGTTGTGAATAACCATCAAAACTTTCGAAAGCTTTGTCTACTTGAGGTACACATCAACTGTATCTCAAGTGCAGACCAATATAATCTACATAGACCTCACTTTGATGAATATTGATGTGTTTTACCATCAAAGCTTTCGCACTGATGAATAGTGATGTCTATTAACATCAAAACATTCAACAGGCTTTGTCTACTTAAGGTACACATCAACTGTACCTCAAATACAGACCAATTCAGTTTACATACACCTCACTTTGAAGTATATTGATGTCTATTACCATCAAAACTTTCGAAAGCTTTGTCTACCTGAGGTACACATCAACTGTACCCCAAATACAGACCAATTCAATCTACATACACCTCACTTTGATGAATATTGATGTGTATTACTATCAAACTTTCCAAAGCTTTGTCTACTTGAAGTACAAATCAACTGTACATCAAGTGCAGACCTACTCAATCTACATACACCCAACTCTGATGAATAGTGATGTGTATTCAGATCAAAACATTCAACAGGCTTTGTCTATTCAGGCACGCATCAACTGTAGCTCAAGTACAGACCAATGCAACTTACATACTCCCAACTCTGATGAGTATTGATGTGTATTCCCATCAAAACTTTTAACAGGCTTTTTCTACCTGAGGTACACATCAACTGTACCTCAAATACAGACCAATTCATTCTACATACACCTCGCTTTAATTAAAATTGATGTGTATTACCATCAAAACTTTCGAAAACTTTGTCTACTGAAGTACAAATCAACTCTACGTCAAGTACAGACCAATTCAATGTACATACAACCAACTTTGATGAAAAGTGATGTGTATTACCGTCAAAACGTTCAACAGGCTTTGTCTACTGGAGGTACAAATCAACTGTACCTTAAGTACAGACCAATTTAATCTACATACACCCAACTCTGATGAATATTGAAGTGTTGTGAATAACCATCAAAACTTTCGAAAGCTTTGTCTACTTGAGGTACACATCAACTGTATCTCAAGTGCAGACCAATATAATCTACATAGACCTCACTTTGATGAATATTGATGTGTTTTACCATCAAAGCTTTCGCACTGATGAATAGTGATGTCTATTAACATCAAAACATTCAACAGGCTTTGTCTACTTAAGGTACACATCAACTGTACCTCAAATACAGACCAATTCAGTTTACATACACCTCACTTTGAAGTATATTGATGTCTATTACCATCAAAACGTTCGAAAGCTTTGTCTACCTGAGGTACACATCAACTGTACCCCAAATACAGACCAATTCAATCTACATACACCTCACTTTGATGAATATTGATGTGTATTACTATCAAACTTTCCAAAGCTTTGTCTACTTGAAGTACAAATCAACTGTACATCAAGTGCAGACCTACTCAATCTACATACACCCAACTCTGATGAATAGTGATGTGTATTCAGATCAAAACATTCAACAGGCTTTGTCTATTCAGGCACGCATCAACTGTAGCTCAAGTACAGACCAATGCAACTTACATACTCCCTACTCTGATGAGTATTGATGTGTATTCCCATCAAAACTTTTGACAGGCTTTTTCTACCTGAGGTACACATCAACTGTACCTCAAATACAAACCAATTCAATCTACATACACCTCGCTTTAATAAAAATTGATGTGTATTACCATCAAAACTTTCGAAAACTTTGTCTACTTGAAGTACAAATCAACTCTACGTCAAGTACAGACCAATTCAATGTACATACAACCAACTTTGATGAATAGTGATGTGTATTACCGTCAAAACGTTCAACAGGCTTTGTCTACTGGAGGTACAAATCAACTGTACCTTAAGTACAGACCAATTTAATCTACATACACCTAACTCTGATGAATATTGAAGTGTTGTGAATAACCATCATAACTTTCGAAAGCTTTGTCTACTTGAGGTACACATCAACTGTATCTCAAGTGCAGACCAATATAATCTACATAGACCTCACTTTGATGAATATTGATGTGTTTTACCATCAAAACTTTCAAAAGCTTTGGCTTCTTGAAGTACATATCAACTGTACCTTAAGTACAGACCTACTCAATCTACATTACACCCAGCTCTGATGAACATTGATGTGTATTACCATCAAAACTTTCGACTGCTTTGTCTACTTGAGGTAC